CTGCCGCTTGCCGGTGGCTCGCCACGTCACCACGATCCCCGGCCACCACGAGAAGCCTTTGATCTTCCCCCAGACCAGTTCGCCAATCCCGAAGCCCTTGTTGTCCTAAACAGAGACACGGGAGGAAGTGCTGAGTTCATTCACGAGCATCGTCACTTTGTGTTAATTAAAGACGAATCAAAGATTAAAGTCGGGTGAAATCAGTGCGAGACGTTTCGTACAGCAAAGTCTCCTCATCGTGGACGTGAACGTCAAAGCGTTATCAGACGCCGGTCACGTCTGCGAGCATTCCCTAAACCTGCGGACCTCCCACTTAGTTGGTTTGTAGTTTGACTCTGTTCTGTTGTGGTGCAAATATAATAAAAAAGACTAAAACAAAATGTGTGTTCGTCCACGTCGGCTGAAGACTCGCTGCTTCCTCTGCAGAGACTTCATCACTGATGACATCACAGCCGTTTCCCGGGGCAGCGGCTCTTTAACGAGCAGCTGGTGGAGCCCGGGCCATGTGACCCTTCAGCCCAGCGGGCTGCGTGGATGCTACACCCCTCTGACGGAGTGGCTCCTCTGAGCTCAGAGCTTCCATCACGAGTTTCCACGTGGACTCCTCGGGTCATTTCCAGCTTCGTTTATTATTCCTGGACTCCACCGGTTCCACCTGATTGGCTGCCCTTCTGTAAAAGTCTAAACAGCAGCCGTACTGCCTCTCTGTGACATCGTACAGTACCAACAGCAGAAAAAAACTGAACAATGAGAAAATAGAAAGCCAGCACAGGTCGCCCTGTGTTTGAAAGTGGCCTTAAAAGGGGAGGAGCTAAATCTTGTTGAAGACAGAGGATGAGAACCACACTGATCACATCATCACAAACGGGAAGATTTGCACTCATGTGGACTTACGCTGTACTCCTGCTTGGTTTCGGAGCTGGACAAGGTGCTGGTGCTCTGGGCCGAGTCTTTGGAGTCTTGTTCCATGAGCTCCAGTCGAGGGGTCTCCGGGACCCCGCCGGACCCGACCGCAGGTGCCCGAGGATTCCCGGGACACTGAGGGCAGGGAGAGGGAAGGTTGACAGAGGAAGAAGTGGGAGGAAGACCTGTGAGGAGCACAGACTCGACAGCAACAATCATCCTGGAGCTGTGATGAGTCGGCAGCATCATCCCGCTTTGACCAAATATTCAAACACAAAGTAAAATGAATAAAAAGCATCTTTGTTAAACTCTTTTATGAAAGAAGAGAGGATGAAGGAGGAGAAGCGATTCTGCAGGCTGCAAACTGACAGCACCACCGCTACCCCACCCTGAGGTGGATGGATGTGTATCTGTGCAGCTTGTTGCATTGTCCCCTCCCTGCTGCCCCCTGCTGGTCGCTGAGTCAGTCGAGCCGTTAACGTTTTGCAGACTTTCATAAATCCAAATATCTTTTTCTGTATTCTAGAAGAAGATCAGCTGCATCTAAGCTCGCCGCGTGGACAACATGTTTTATGTTTTTAACGGCTGCACATTCCCGAGAGTTTACCCGAGACGTGCCGTGCTCCTGTTTGCGGCTCTGTCTGCGAGGCTTGCCGTGTGCGTGCGGCGTCAGGCCGGCCTGGAAGATGGTTCTGGGTCGAGGCGTCTGTCTCAAGCCCTGAGACGCTCCTGAAGACTTGTCCTGCAAAGAGACAAACACCAGACCAGTGTCCCCTCTGCTCTCGCCTAAATCACAGGGCGGTGAAAAGCTCCTACGCGAGAGTCGTACCGAGTCCCAGGTGCTTTCCTCGTCCTCGCGTCTCTTCCTGCTCCTCTTCCTGCTTCCCCTCGAGCACTGGTTACCATCTGTGGCGGGAAGACAACAGATGGACAGAAGGTGAGACAGATGGTCCGAGAGAAACTGAATATTTTCGCGGGACGGCGTCGCTGGGCAGACAGCTGCCAAAGTCAAAGAGCTTAAACGTGACGATTTCGGCAGTTCAACAGCTTCAAGAACAAACACAAAACCTCACACAGCAGAACATAAACATCTCAGTTAAGTGATTAAAAATGCACTAAATGTTTAATAAGTGAAGACGCAGACACGCTGCATCGCTCCGTCAGGCTCCAGGTTCTCGTGACTTTTAAAGAACTGAAGCAGAAACTTAATCTGAAGAAATGCAGCTCATCATCATCATCATCATCATCATCATCATCATCGCCGCAGCAGAAACATGAAGTGAAAGTCTGAGAAACGCGTGACCTCACTGGCAGCTGTAATCATTCACACATTTTCCCTTTTAATGTGAAGTTTCTGTCCGCAAACACACAGGAAGCCAGCGGACCTTCAAAATAAAGGTCTCACATGAAATAAGTGACGGCGTAAAGACGAGTGGCGTGAGTTACCCTGAGGCGAGGCAGCGTCTCCGTTCTGTTTGGGGCTGAAGGGTGAAGGCGGCTCGGCCGCAGTCAGGGGGCTGTTCTCATTGGTCAGTTCCACTCCGCTGTCATTCTCGGACAGGCCCTCAGCTGGAGGCGTGTCCCCGTTCACCGCTGCCTGGAGACAGAACAGAATCACAAACACTGTTATCTGAGATAAAGCCTCGGAGTGAGGCGGGACGCAGACGAGTGGCAGAGGCGCCCCACAGAGACGCCATCGCTCCATCAGCCCTCCACCCGGAGAGAAGAGAGAGATGATGGAGCTCCACAGAAAACATTTTATTTTACATTTCACTTCCTGTTACCTTTTACTCAGTTTGTCACTGTTATTACCTGAGACTTGGCTGCGGCGCACAGAGTCGATGCTTTCAGGAACCGTAAACGGTAAATGAATATTACAATGGCGGCGCGTGTAGACGCAGCGACCTCACGCTCTCCCGAAAATGCGATGTTTTGTTCGTCAAGTAAGTGTCTTTCTGCAAGTGTTTCTCGCCAGTCCACGTCGGAATATGTGTACAGTCGTCAGGCTCTCTTACACATTCGGAGAAGCAAGATTTGCCAAGTTTTGAACACTAACGTTGAGATGCTAAGGGAGATAGGACTTCTGCGACAGCCTGCTAGCTGGCCTAGCAACTCACCGGACTCGCCTGCTAACCCTCCCCGGGCAAGGAGGCGTCGAAAGCGGTGCGCTAGGACAAGGAAGCGGGGCAAGCGCGGAGGAGTCCGAGTCAGGCTTGAGGCTAAGCCAACTCGCCCAGCCATACCATCGATCCTCTTAGCCAACGTTCGATCTCTGGACAATAAAATGGACAACATACGACTTCTGAGATCAGCGAATCGCAAAGTAAGTGACTGTTGTGTGCTAGTTTTCACCGAGACATGGCTTAATGACAACATTCCGGACTCGGCCATACAACTGGAGCAGCTAGCATGCTACAGAGCCGACAGGGCTCTCGTAGACGGAGGCAAGACCCGAGTGGTGGGGTCTGTGTTTACATCCGTGACGAGTGGTGTCGGGATGCCACTGTAGTACGCAAACACTGCTCATCACTGGCGGAGTTCATGATCGTGAAGTGTCGCCCTTTCTATTTGCCCAGGGAGGTAAGTTCGATCTTGTTGGTCGCTACTTATATACCTCCATCTAGCAACAACAGCGATAGAAATGCGGCGCTGAACGAACTGTATCAGGCCATCAGTGAACAACAAACAGCACACCCAGACGGTTTCATCATCCTCGCAGGAGACTTTAATCATGCTGATCTTAAAACTGTTCTCCCAAAGTTTCATCAGCATGTACATTTTCCAACAAGGGGAGACAACATATTGGACTTGGTCTACACACAGGAAAAAGGAGCATACAAAGCCATCCCCCTCCCCCACATCGGCACCTCTGATCACCTCACTGTTATGCTAATGCCAGCATACAGACAGAGAGTGAAGGTCATCAAACCTGTTATGAAAGAGGTAAGAGTGTGGCCACAGGAGGCCACCTCTGCTCTTCAAGACTGCTTTGGGTCAACTGATTGGGACATATTCAAGGAAGCAGCCACCTACAATAACATCATAGACATCGAGGAGTACACAGACACGGTGAGCTCATACATCACCAAATGCATTGATGATGTAACACAGGTGAAAAGTATCACAACTCGAGCCAACCGGAAGCCATGGCTAACAGGAGATGTCCACAGGCTGCTGAAGGCCAGAGACAAGGCCTTCAGAGCTGGGGATGAAATAGGCCTGAGAACAGCGAGAGCCAACCTGTCCCGTGGCATCAGGAAAGCGAAACAGGACTACACACACAAGATAACCTCCCACTTCAATGATAGCAAGGATGCAAGAAGCCTATGGCAAGGCATCCAGGCTATTACAGACTACAAGCCTGTAGCGCGTAGCTGTGAGAGCGACACCACTCTGCTCAACAACCTGAACAGCTTCTTTGCACGATTTGAAGCACAGAACAACACACGCCCACAGAAAACACCACCACCTCCACACGACCAGCCTCTGTGCCTGTCTGCTGCCAGCGTGAAGAGGACACTCATCACCATCAACGCCCGGAAAGCAGCGGGTCCAGATAACATCCCTGGTAGTGTGCTGAAAGACTGCGCAGAGGAGCTGAAAAATGTCTTCACAGACATCTTTAACACCTCCCTGAGGCAAGCCACTGTTCCATCATGCTTCAAGACTGCCACCATCATACCTGTGCCAAAGAAACCATCCCCAGCCTGTTTCAATGACTACCGCCCCGTGGCACTGACACCCATTATTATGAAGTGCTTTGAACAACTAGTCATGTCACACATCAAATCCACCCTACCTCCCACCCTGGACCCACACCAGTTCGCATACAGAGCGAAACGATCCACAGAGGATGCAATCTGCTCTGCCCTCCACCCAGCCCTAACTCATCTGGACAAGAAAGACTCATATGTGAGAATGCTGTTCATAGACTTTAGCTCAGCATTCAACACCATAATACCACAACAACTCATCTGTAAACTGGACAGACTGGGCCTCAGCACCTCCCTCTGCAACTGGCTGCTGGATTTCCTCAGCCAGAGGCCTCAAGCGGTGCGTGTGGGCAACAAGGTCTCAAACAGCATCACCCTGAGCACGGGGGCTCCACAAGGCTGTGTGCTCAGTCCTCTGCTCTTCACCCTGTTGACACATGACTGCACACCAACCTACAGCTCCAACCACCTTGTGAAGTTTGCGGACGACACAACGCTGGTGGGGCTCATCATCAAGGGCGATGAGACCCACTACAGGAAAGAGGTTGAGCTCCTGACCACGTGGTGCAGAGACAACAACCTCCTGCTAAATGTCAGTAAGACCAAGGAGATTATTGTCAACTTCCAGAGAGGCCACACCTGTCACCCCCCATTGACCATCGACGGCGCTGCGGTGGAGAGGGTGAGCAGCACCAAGTTCCTGGGGGTGCACATCAGTGAGGACCTCTCTTGGACCACCAGCACAGCATCACTGGCCAAGAAAGCACAACAGCGCCTCTACTTCCTGCGCAAACTCAAGCGGGCAAGTGCTCCACCACCCATCCTGACTACATTCTACAGAGGCACTATTGAAAGTATCCTCTCCAGCTGCATCACTGTGTGGGGCGGTAGCTGCACTGACTATAACAGAAAAGCTCTACAACGCATTGTGAGAACAGCAGCTAACCCTCCCTGCAAGACATTTACACCACTCGCCTCACCCGCAAAGCCATCACAATTGTCAACGATGCAACCCACCCCGCGCACTGTCTGTTCAGCCTCCTGCCCTCTGGAAAGAGATACAGAAGTCTCCACTCCCGCACTACCAGGCTCACCAACAGCTTCATCCACCAGGCTGTGAGACTGCTGAACTCTCTTCCCTCCCGACTCCCAGCCAGCAGAATCACCAGATTGGCAGAAGTATAGGAAGACAGACTGGACTCTACTCCCCCCCCCCCCCCCCCCCCCCCCCCCACTCACCCACGCACACTCTCCAACAAGGAAACACTCTCTGAACCAAGAACTGAAAACATTCCTGACTTGCATTGCAATTGCACACACCTGCAACTATATATATATTTTTAGTATTTCTTTTAGCACTATTTATATTATTATATTACTATTTATTACTTTATTGTTAGGGCTGTTTTTGTTGTGCATCTGCACCTTATTGTTGTCAATGTCTACGCATGGGACAGTGTGAAACGTAATTTCAATTCCTTTGTATGGCAAGTACATTTGAAGAAATTGACAAATAAAAGTATTCTATTCTATTCTATTCTATTCTATTCTAAAAGTTTGGCCTAAAACCAGCGGGAGCGCCGGTGACCAGCAGATGATCAGCTGATCATCTCCAGTGTCAGTTCTTAGTTTTTGGCCCTTACACGTCTTCTTCTCACATGTTTTTAAGGACATGCTGCACACAGAGATATCCCAGGTTTCCAGGTAACTGCTCTTTGGGAATCACCCTGTTCGTCTAAAAATACTAAACTGTGAGATTTTGACAGACTCTACTAACGAAACAGGAACAGACGATGTGTTGAAAATCTTTGCCCGTGTGTCTGTTATGTGCAGATGCCTTCATAATTAAATGAAAATAGTCCGGCACAAGATCAGCCAAATCAAAGGTTTTGTAAGACCTCCAGAAAGTCTGGCTCCTTGAAACGAGGGCTGGCTCAGGACTTCTGCACAGCACTGTGCTGCTTTGCATTGTTCCAATAAGCAACTTTTCCAACTCCCAGATTTTAAGTTCAGTGACGTTAAAGCCTGAAGTTTGTGACGCGAGCGCACGCCACCCTGACCCTGCAGCCCACACAGGGCTCTGCATGACGACGGCGTGCTTGACGTGCCGACACCAACGCTCCACATTCCCGAAGCCTCAGGTCATACTCAGGCAAACACTCACCGGAGCCTCTGGCCTCACCGCTGTGACGGCTGCCATTAAAGCGTCACGTGACAAACGATTAGCGCGCCTGACACTGAGCTGAGAGCGGGCAGCCGACGCGGTGCAGTCAGGACTTGTTCAGGCTTCTAATCTCCTGACTGCCGCAGACGTTTGGTGCCGTTCCAAGTGGGTCATCCGTCATCTCCAGCATCCAATACGTTAGCTTACTGTCCGTGTCGTACTGCTGCGCTCTGTGTGTGTGTCAGCTGAGACTCTGTGGTCTTGTGGGTCTTGCAGGCAGGTCTGCAGCGTTAAACACAGCCTGGTTACAAGTCCAAACACTGACATGTCAGCAGTTTTCTTTGTTGCTAGCTAAATAAAAGCACTTCAAACAAAAAGCCATCAGGCACGAGGATGTTGTGTAACTACAGTCCAAAGCCTCACTGCCTTTTACGCAGTTTTACTCTTTGATCTGGGAGAATCCACCCACCGTGTTTAGCTTCAGGCCACAGCTGTGTTTCAGGCACAGCTGTTCACGAGCAACACTGACACATCTGCGCCTCCACCTGGGGCGGTGAGAACCACCTCACTGACAGGTGGATGAGCGCCGCGTTGAACGGCTGCTGTCTCATCATACGTGAAGCGAGCAGCGTTCACACAACCTGTAACTTTAAGTGAAACTTTAAGTTAGCTTGTCTTAAAGAGACACCACACAACTGCGGCGGTTACAGCGGGCGTAGT